AGCCTGATTTCCACTAGGCGGAATTTTGCGCGCGGAGCGACATTTCCCGCGCGGAAACTGAAAAAGTTGAACGGCTTTCAACTTTGTGGCTGCGGAAAATGTCGCTCCGCGCGCAAAATTCCGCCTAGTGGAAATCAGGCTTAACTTCATTATACAAAAATACAATTACCATGCACAAATGAACATATCAAACAAAAACATAATAGCTACAATGACGTCTGTTCAGTTTCTAGACCAACGATATCTTGATATGTTGATTCACATGATTGAATCTTGAAAACAACGTTTCTGGCATTTTCTAGAGAAATTTTGCTAACTTATTACGTCTTATTTCATATTATTCTGACACTGCAATCGACCAACGAAAAATTCGTTGGCTCGAGCGGGATTTGAACTCGCATCTTCGGGGTATCTAGACCGCCGCTCTATACCCATTGAGCTATCGAGTCAACGGGGATTGGTAGCGAGTTTTATTATGCAATTTAAGTGCACGAAATAGTTTCGTGACGACTAACGCTTGTCTTAGACGACGCGCAGTGTTTCAATTCTATTTCAGAACCATCCTCAGAGATACGAAAAACTAGTTTCATATTATGCTTGTGATGTTACTCTGAGTGTATATCCACACCGGGCAAGCTTGAAAAATATGCCTGACCACCGTACGTGGGAAGCATCATATTCACCTGAGTACATTACACCAACACAGAAAAAAATCATAGTTTCATATTATTCTGACACTGCAATCGACCAACGAAAAATTCGTTGGCTCGAGCGGGATTTGAACTGGCATCTTCGGGTATCTAGACCGCCGCTCTACCCATTGAGAGTTTTATCCAATTTAAGTGCACGAAATATTTTCGTGCCGACTTAACGCTTGTCTTAGACATAGATATCTTATATACAATAGATAGTGCATCTAATTATTTTGCAATTCAAAAATTGAAGCCGTGATTGCAGACTCAGGATATTCCCATGAAATGAGAAGACTCGTATGTTTTCTATTTCTTAAACAGGGAACTTAAACATTAAGTTAAACCTATTCCAAATACATTTTGAAACTATCAAATGATGAAAGTTATTGTTGTTTTTTAAGCGTTTATTAGCGAGTGGGAAACTCCAACATGGCCGCCATCTATTCAAATGGAGGTAACCGCTGGAATATTCTTGGCTTCAATTTTACTAAAAGCGATGCGCTATCTAGTCTATATTATATCTTTAATTGTTGGATTCTTCTGAGCCCAATATGGCAAAATGTTAAGTCGAGACTTCAATATTGGGGGAGACCGAAGGTCGAGCCTAATATTGAAGTCGAGACTTAATATTTTGCCATATTGGGCGAAGATGAATTCAATAGGAGTTTTATTATATCGAACAAACAAGAAACTAAAAACGAAGTCGTCCTGGTTTTTAATTAATATATAAAAACATGCAACTCTCAACATGTACACAAACCGCAAAATATCACAACAAACAGATTAAAACTTTGAAACTTATTACAAGGCTAACGGTGCTGAAAATTAAAAGTAACATTACTGTTCTGAAATGTCATTTGTCCATGCAGGCTTAAAGCTAAATGGAAACGAATTTGATTGATTTGTTGACGTTGTTGTAGATTGTTGAATGTTCAATGTTAACGGGCTTCCTGGCGGAGACCTCAGGGAAACCGACGAGACGGGAGAAATTGGCGATTTATTGACGTGTTCCATGCTCTTATCTCTAGGTTTTGTAGCTTCTTGTGTTCCGACTTTAGTTACGGCATTGCCCATTGTTTGAGAGATACTTTGTTGACATTTCTCAGTAATCCGATCATGATAACTTTGTAAACTTGTTACACTTTTGTGGCCGCTTATTTTCATTATTTCTCGGTCATTATAGCCAGCCAAGTTTAGAATTTGAATGGCAGTAGACCTGATACAATGATTAGTATATAGAGTTTACTTAGCTTGTACTCAGCTGACATATCTTTCATCATGTTTCCAAGTTTTTTTTCGCCGACATGCAGGACTGTTGCAATACCATATTTTGTCGTTCTCGGTCAAGTGACCTTCGCGCGGTCTTTGCCAAAGGGCGTCATGCAAGGTCAGGATGAAGTTTCGAAGTGTACATTTCAAAAGTTTTAACAGGGCAGTGAATAGATTGAGGGTTTTCATACATCCTTCCTTCGCCGATTGTAGCATTTCTATCACAATTTTCACGATGATTTTTGTCCATCTCGTCCACAGTTTGTGTAACATAATGATTGCCGGCTGCATCAATTTTAACGGCGAAAGTTGCTTTTGTCATTTGGCGTAGATTTTCTCTCCCACGACGAATAAGGTAAATCATGATATCTAACCAGACTTTTTGTTGAAGTCCTTTCGGTGTTGATACATCACAATTACTGTAAAGTTTATTTAGATCGTGTTCTTCAACTGGCTCTTTATGTTCAGTCCCTCCTTTCCCTTGCCTTTTTAACTCAACCAGCTGAGCACGAAAAATTTCGTTCGCAGAATCAAATTCCGGGTCTTCAATGATGTTAATCTTTCGTTCTTTTTTAAGATATCTGGCAAGACCCTCACGTATACAGTTCAAAGAAGACTTTTTGTAGAACTCGCCATCTTTTTTCGTATAGCTTCGGCGTAAAAATATTTTAAAGTATTGGCGAGTTCTTCGGTTGAAAAGCTCTCGAAATTTGACTCTTTTCCACGTTCAGTACAGTAGTTTCTGAGAACGTTTGCCGCGGATTTTGTTGCTTTCTTTGTGTTCGAAGATTCTTTGTTCTCGAGAACTTCATTGAGATCATTTTGTGTTTTCTTTAGAAGAAAACGTGGCTTCTTTTGGTCTGGTTCCATGTCTTCCACAAGCAAATGCCCTGGCCCCTAGCAGCTAATGAGTAATGGCGGAAAAAACTGTCCAATAGGTTCCTGTCCAATATCGTAAAATATTGGATCGGCACGTGACCCTAATAAGCACTCGTGATTGGTTAAGTGCGCGTGAGTGTATAATAAAATATATCTATGGTCTTAGAGGACGCGCAGTGTTTCAATTCTATTTCAGAACCATCCTCAGAGATACGAAAAACTAGTTTTCGTATCTCTGAGGATGGTTCTGAAACAGAATTGAAACACTGCGCGTCCTCTAAGACAAGCGTTAAGTCGTCACGAAAATATTTCGTGCACTTAAATTGGATAAAACTCGCTACCAATCCCCGTTGACTCGATAGCTCAATGGGTAGAGCGGCGGTCTAGATACCCGAGTTCAAATCCCGCTCGAGCCAACGAATTTTTCGTTGGTCGATTGCAGTGTCAGAATAATATGAAACCAATTTTTCGTATCTCTGAGGATGGTTCTGAAATATTATTACGTCTTATTGTGTAGTACATTCAAGATTTAAACATATCATTTTACATTTGTCTTCTATCATATTTAGCGTTGTTAACTAGTTAAGGTAATTTTTTGTTTCATTTATTAAAAGGACACTTTTGCCCGTTGTGCCCGTTAGACAAGGGCAGGAGACTGAGGAGAGGTCAGACTGTCAGAGGTGCCCCCCCCCCACACACACACACACATTCACACCCGTCTCCAGCATCCATGATAATGCTATACAGTATCAAACTCTCTTACAAAAGGTATTGTGTGAAGCACAAAATGCAGTTACAATCAAAACAAGAAACACCATGCAATTCTAAAAAGCTAATATTTAAATCAGTTCAACGCAAGATAGTTTTTTGTCACTGTGATAAACGATATGACCAACGGTGTTGTTATTCATTTGTATAGATCCCAGGACTAAGGAATGGTTCCTAGTGCCATCTATCTACAGTCCTCTTTCAGCATGCCTTTTATATGTTTTGGTTGTTAATCTTGGACCACGATTCATGGAGAGACGACAACCACTTGAGCTTAAGATACCAATGGCTTTGTACAACTTTGGAGCAACAGCATTAAACGTATATTGTTTTTCAGAGGTATACAGTGTGTTTATAATAAAGTTATTATCAAATATACAATATCACAAATAACTATATAATTATAATAACTAATATGATTATAATCAAGTTTTATTGAACAGTCCTTTTCAATATTTTGTTGTAGCTTCTGATTGGCTCATGGAAAGCTGGATATCGGTATATATGTAATAGAGTGATAATTTCAACAGAGCCTCAACATATGCGGGTAATTATCTTTTGTCTAGACCACCATTGTCAAGAGTACTCTGTTGTGTTTATACAGGGTGTATAAAAAAAAGGAGACCTTTAGAAATCAAGCATATTGTTAAAATTTGAATGCCATTTCAATTGCACATATGCTGAACTGTGGTGCGTGAAATATTGATGGGTGCATATATTAGAAAAAGGAGAACTTTAGAAATCAACCATTGTTATTATTTGAATCCTGGAGCACTTAGCTAAGCACATGGCAGATTGTTCCCAGGAGCAGACAATCTTTTGTTTAAATGTTATTTCAAATTCTAAAGGTCTCCTTTTTAGTGTGAAGTTTCACTTCACACTATTGTGATGGCTGGCGAATTCACACGAATCAGTCAAACAGTCAGTCAGTCAGTCAGTCAGTCAGTCAGTCAGTCAGTCAGTCAGTCAGTCAGTCAGTCAGTCAGTCAGTCAGTCAGTCAGTCATAGAGTAAACTTTCCGGGGGGTGTAGACGATTTATGTTCGTAGTGATTTATTGTACTTACTTAGTACTTTGAAGGTTATTTAGGCAATTTCAGTTAACTTATTTACATATTCTGTTATCCTTTTGCCAAGTTCACAAAAATTTCGAGGAATCGCTTTCTTTATTGTATTTTTTTGTAAATTTTAGAACATTCACTTCTCATGTTGTGTAAAGGATCTTTACCCCGGAACCCCCGATTTTTTTTAGTAGCGCAAATGCGCATGCGCTATCAAGCCGTAGATCACGATGGCGTGACGATATGCTAGGAAGGGGTGACAGTGTTGTTTTCAGATGTATAAAGATTTCAGACGTGAATATTGAGTAAATCTTTGAAAATCTACGCAATATATAAATTGATCTTATGCATTACGGGCGTTCAATTAAGTGCCGATAATATTTAGACGGTATATTCATTATACAGAGCTAGGAAGGAGCTAGACCGCCTAGACAGTGCAGTCAAGTGTGTAAACATTTCAGACGTAAATATTGAATCGAATATCTTGATTCCAGGCATTCATTTATATGCCGATATTATTTTCACGGTATTCTCATTATACAGAGGTACAGTACGTAGGCAGAAGCGAGACAGTGTTGTTTTCAAGTATATAAAGATTTCAGACGTGAATATTGAGTAAATCTTTGAAAATCTACACAATATATAAATTGATCTTATGCATTACGGGCGTTCAATTTAATAAGTGCCGATAATATTTAGACGGTATTTTCATTATACAGAGCTGGGAAGGAGCTAGACCGCCTAGACAGTGCAGTTAAGTGTATAAACATTTCAGACGTAAATATTGAGTCGAAAATCTTGCTTCTAGGCATTCAATTGAGTGCCGATATTATTTTTTCACGGCATACTCATTATACAGAGTCTGTATAATGAGTATGCCGTGAAATTACAGAGGTACAGTACGTGCAGGCAGAAGCGAGACAGTGTTGTTTTCAAGTATATAAACATTTCAGACATGAATATTGAGAAAATCTTTGAGATTCTACGCAATAATAGTAATACAATATATAAATTGATGTTATGCATTACCGTCGATATTATTTAGACCGCGTATTCGTTATACATTCTCATTGACTGTATAAGGTGCTACATCACAGAATAGATGGCTATACTCAGTACAAAGAGCGAAAAATTGCATCAGATTTGTATCAGATCAATAAAGCATAAACAACTATTAAACAGAAGCGGGTAAACGTTTGTACGGGCGTTTACGAAGAAAAAAACTTACGAGACTAAAGGAATCAGTTGAGTCAGAGCTTGTTGTATAAATAAGAAAGACGAGGAGATAGCCAACGTGTTTAGGTGTTATCGCCAACGTGTTATCGCTAATCGCTTAATTGGCTCGCCAACAAGCTTTATGCAATAGAAGAAAAAAGCAAGGAGGTACATGTAGCCAACGTGTACATTCACGGACCTTGTCCTTGTCTTTGTTTACTGTCTAGTGTCTAGCACAACGCCGTTGTCAACGGTGCAAACTCGTAATCAGTGCAACGATAACTCTACCAGATCTTACGAGAATCAATCTGTAGTATTCTGTACACAGAACTGTATCAAAGCTTATCAAAAATGTTTTAAACACTGCTATAACTGTGAAACTATTGAAATCTAAAGTGATATTTATATTCAACACATGCGAAAAGCTGAAAATAGACACACATCACACTGGGAAAAGTCAAAGGTCAATGAAACGTTAAAATGCGGAAGCGGATGGAGCGGATCCACGGAACGGATATGCGGATAAAATACGGAACGGATGAGGATAAAATGCGTCTTTCAATGATGTAACGACGTAGTGCTTATTATTCATAACATATCTTATACAGCTATTTCAATTATAGTTTATTAGATAAATTTAGCATAGCAGTAGCCTCGTGGGGATGCTTTCAGCGACAGCTGCAAATGCAAATGAAAATTTAGAATATGCAACATTTGGTTGTTGGTGACACAATAAATAGATGAATTGCATCAGTTTCACAAGGCACGTTTCTGATGTGTTAGGCTTGTTTCAAACGTCACGCTACTCGTATGCCGAGCGTATTAAAAGCAATAAATAATGAGATTAAATGCCTTTGGTAACTGTTTATTTCGTAGTGTAAGCCATCAAGCTTTTCTAGGTTGTCGGCGACCCTATATAGTTCTTGCAGTGCCTTTTTAAATTTGAAACTTCACACTATCCTTGGATCCCTAGTTCTAATATATGCATGCATCGATATATTTCACGCAATACGGTTCAGCATATGTGCAATTGAAAAGGCATTCAAATTTTAACAATATGCTTGATTTCTAAAGGTCTCCTTTTTTTTGATACACCCTGTAGTGCTGCTCGTATGTCAGTTCATTTTCGAAATCGATTAATCATTATCAACAATCGATTAACATCGATCAATCTTATTAATTGGATAAATGTAGGCACGTTCACGGTAGTTAATGTTGCTTCCAAGAAAGTGGCATGTTTTAGAGTAACAAAACATCGGATTGATATGGAGGCAACTACTGTATACCTGAAAAATACAAGGCGAACTTCGATGTTTCCAGCGAAGGTCCATCGAGCCCCGACGAAGGGCCTTCGCTCGAAACGTCGAATATCTCCTTGTATTTTTCAGGTAGTTGCATCCCCATCAACTGAAGTTTCGTTCTTTATGTTTTGACATCCCCTGAGAGAGCAAGTGGTAGTAGATAAATCAAACAAGTCGCACATCGACAATACCATCACGTAATTTTTTTTCAATCGGGAAAGAAAGTTACCCAGGTATTATGCTATGCACGGCTGTTTAGTTAATTCAATTATTATTGAATATTCGACTGCAAATAAAGACCGAATCTGGAGCCACTGCAGTTGTGCCTGTGTTCGACACAATTCAGTGATCTATCTAGTCGGGTGGTACCTACAGTGGATATTAATACCCAGCCGATATAAATGAGCACAGTGGAAAATTGAGAATGGAAACTTACCATACATTTTTTGTACGTAGTTGTATGCAGTGGTGAAGCTAGCTATAGCAACAGGTCATGCTATGCAAATTAATAATTATTTGCATTATTCAAACCTTTTGAAATGTATTGTGCCTATATCATGGTTTTGGAGTTTGCATATCTCGAAAGTGTAGAGTATTTTAAGACACTTTGCAATAGATTTTGTTATTGAAAAATATCATCTTGATGGATTTATTAGCTCTTAAAGTTACCGCGGACATGACGTCAAAAGGAGAATTGCAAATCAGTTTTCTTTTGTATCATTGCAACAAAATTCTCCTTTTGACGTCATGTCCGGTAACTTAAAAAGAGATAATAAATCCATCAAGATGAAATTTTTCAAATAACAAAATATTTTAAGTGTCTTAAAATACCCTACACTTTCGAGATATGCAAACTCCAAAACCATGATATAGGCACTTTAACCTATTTAGATGCAGGTTAGCATAGCATGACCAGTTGCCATGGCTAGCTTCGTCACTGGTTACGTGTTTGTGTGTTGTGTGTTAGATTTCGATAACAAGTCCATTGAATTTTGTGGCATGTTGTCAACAAGCTGTTGACATGTTGTTAGCAAGCTGGAAACAACTAGTGCCAAACCCTGCTGAAAGGCAGTAACGACTTGCGCTTTCGTACACGTGCAAGCTATAGATATATTTATCACCGTGCAAACAAGCCTGGTACCCAGAGCTTCCGCGTGCATGTGGCAACCATAACTCGCCCTTTTTAGCTGTCCACCACTGATTCCATTCCTACATTACTTTTTATTTCTTCTAATAGATCGCGAACGCTATATGGTGGTTTTATCTATCAAAATATTATGAAATGCTAGATACGGTAAGAAAATATTTTAGTATGAACAATTTTAGTATTAAGTAGCTAGCTACAGTTGCAGAAACACGCGTGGGAGTGTGGTAGAGCGAGAACGGGCGAGTTTTTCCACGTTATTTTGTGTTCTTCCAAACTACCACAAATGTTTCTATATTATCATAACTGTATAGAAACACAGGAAATTTTTTAAAATTTTTTTTATAATATATAAATCAAGAAAAGTTTTTATGGCCATTTTGTTAATTACCACAGCCAGGGCTTGAAGTAGGGAAAAATATGGCCTGCCAGTCTAAAACTTTTAGGCAGGTGAAATAAATTTTAGCCTGCCATTTTTATTCATTTAACTGTCAAAATGGCGATGTCTCATATAAGAGTCATTTTGTAAAAATGGATGTTTTCATGATATACATTTTTATTATTTTTAAACTTGCCTATTTTACTAGAGTAAACTTGGATTTACATTTCAAATATAAACGTATTTAGTCAACTAAATTATCTAGTATATACTGTATGAGTTGTGGTAAGCAAATGAAATGAAATACAGTATATTCTATAGAATTTCACCTGTCATTTTTTTACGTGGCAGTTCAAATTTGTTTTTGCCTGCCATTTCTAAAATATGGCCTGCTTTTGGCCATTGGCAGCTCGCCATTTCGAGATCCATTCATCGGTTGCCCGGTTGCCTTTGCTCGTCAATTTGAGTATTAAATCAAATAGTCAAGTTCTTTATTTAAAGTGAAAATTCCCTTTTTGTCTTGTGATTCCTTTTGTTTACGTTTTAAAATCTAAGGTGCGAGATGGGAAATTTTCCGTGTTTCATGCATACAGAGATAGAAACGTGCTTCTTATAACCAATCAACGCTCGCGTACTATAATTGTATAAATGGCCGCTTTTGTTATTAATTATATTAATTATAGTGGCCGCTTTTGCCATTCGAAAGACTGACCATCGCAAAATGATGTTTATTTCAATCTTATTAGCTCATGGCGTCAATTGCACACTGGGGAATGTGATTTCAAAATCGCTCGCATTATAGCTTGAAATGGGTTTGTCTGCATGCCAATATGCGCGCACATGCTTTTTTGAATGCTATAACACGCTTGAGTTGTACTGTAACGTCTAAAATGAATATAATAAAGTGGAAATTGGGCTTCGTGTCGTGCAATTTTTATCTGAAAACAAATCACACTGCCGTTCTGCAGCCGTGCGATTTTGTAATCACGCGTTTGATTTCAGTCCAACTTGCACTCCACTCAGTCTAATTGGAGAGGTTCAGATTAAACTTCCACTACTGCTACCCCTACTATTAAGGGGTCACTACCGCTACTCCTAACCCTAACCAATCAGATGTGCGCTAAACCAGTGAGAGGTAGCGATAGTGGAAGTCAAATCTGAATCTCTCTAATACCATTATAAATACATGTTTTCTGAGCACTGTATATATTTACGTACAGGTATTTTTTATCCTCCGCAAGAAAAACAACCAGATCACTTTTCTTCATGTTTATCATCATACATCTATACTAGCACTGTGGTGGATTGGTATTAAGTGGGTTCCAGGTGGTACCGGTAAGTTAGTACTGCACAATTTAAACAGTAGATGTAGCAACATGGATAATAAAATAAATGGATAGGACTCTAGCTGACGTCACAGTCTAAACCTAGTTGCAACCTGTGACGTCACGCCTTGCCAAAGTTCTTGGCTTTTTTGTTGTTTTGCTATATTTTCCGCTTTAAAGGGGTAATATTGAAGCATGAACTGGTCTAATTGTTTTAAAAACATGCCTAAGCCACGACAAAGTATTCAAGGTAAATGTTTTTCGTCTTTGTTTTGTATTTTTTTACATTTGTAGCTACGAAATTGGCGTCCCCAATTTTAATGAAATTTGGGATGCATTTTTCACTGTTTAGTGCCTGAAATTTCGCTAAAATTGACTGGAAATACTTAGAGATTTCATCATAGAATGGCGCAGTTATATTTATTTGCTCTTTGACTAAAATGTTTAGCTGTATTATTGCTAAACATGCCGTTTTTGAGAATTTGGTTTGCAACTAGGTTTCCAACATCCAACCACGCCATCAGCCCATTGAAAACGTTAGGTCACGTCAGCTAGTTTCCTATCCATTTATTTTATTATTCATGGTAGCAAGTATACACGTATTTGTTTTTGGAGAAATGTGAGAATACAATGCGCCATTTACTGAATTATTGCATAGCTAAATCTTTCTGTTGTGATACTATACATTTCGGACAAGAATGATCCCAAATTTTTCAATAAATTAGCTCTCCAATTCAATATGGTCTCGTGGTTTTTACTCCAACTTACATAGGTCAAAAATTAAAAAGTAGAAATTCGCACACATATATATGCTGTATAAGAACTTAAATTCTCATTTGCCGCACTCCCGCTGTGGAGAAAAATCTTCAAAAAATAGTTGTCATTCTTTTTTCTCCTAAATTAATTATATGACCAAGGTAATCACTGCTGCCTTAGAGAATACTTCAAGACTATCAGTATTACAAAATATATATAAATATAATACCATGTATTATATTATATAATACCATGTATTAAATCTTTAAAATTCTGGAATGTCTGCATGCTATATAGATGTAGCATAGAACACCGACTAGCCTCGTTTTGGTACTTTTTCTACATTTCAAAGGACTATATAATTTCGCTTATAGGGCCTTATTATGGCCTCTGCCATTCGAACGTTTTCAAAATTTAAAGAGGCCGTCAAGTCCGTTCTGCTCATGCGCGTGTTTTGTTTACATTTTTGTTTCAAACAATAGATAATTTAATTAAAATTCCGATCTGTGGGCCCACAAGTTAGCTCATTACGCATTCAGAATATATCACGAAGGAAAAATTGAACTACTAAAGCAACAATTTAGCCCCCAAACAACAAATGTTAAATCGAAAATGCTAAGAAGCATTTCTTGCAGAGGTCTGGACAAAATTTGACTGCAATTTGTACACATTTAGCTCCAAAACGACAAATTTAAGATTGAAAATGTTAAGAAACACATCTTTATACAAAGATATGGACAAATTTTTTTACAGATTGCAGTCAAATTTTGTCCAGACCTCTGTAAGAAGTGCTTCTTAGCATTTTCCATTTAAAATTTTGCTTTAATAGTTCAATTTTTCCTTCGTGATGCATTCTGAATGCGTAATGAGCTAACATGTGGGCCCAGTGGCCCACAGATCGGAATTTTAATTAAATTATCCATTGTTTGAAACAAAAATGTAAACAAAACACGCGCATGAGCAGAACGGACTTGACAGCCTCTTTAACGGTAATCTAATAATAGTATATTTTTTCAGCTTTTTATAGTTCTATGGTGAACTCTTTCATTCACATTGTGATGTATACATATTATGGTTTGAGTGTATTTCCTTCAATTCGCAGTTATTTGTGGTGGAAACGATACCTCACGCAGCTTCAACTGGTAAGAATATTTAACGGCTAATGAAAATTTATTGCGTACAGTAGTTACAACTCTTGTTCATGTATATGATATGCAAGGACAGGTCATTTACAAAGCGCCATTTATGCAGGTTAAGGCCGATTTACACTACACAACTTTTGCCTAAAACTGTCACATGCAACCTGCTTACAACTTGGGTTGTACTGTGTAAATCAAGCACAGCATTTGAATGCCAGTGGAAACTCTTAATATTTGGTAGCTGTCACGTGATCAGGGCGCAATAATTGTTCCAAAAACATGATCATTGCAAGCTGTTGAGCCCAAGCCCGCCGCCCACTCGGCAGCTTGTATAAAAAGCCCGCGAAATAAGATAGCTTGTACTAGATTCGCCTCTTTAAACGAAGAAGAACTGTGTAAGTTATTGTGCCCGCCGATCGCTATAGTCTTGGCTTTCTTAAAGATGCGGTGCAGTCCGATCTGCGCATGTACACAAAGGAGCCCTCTTTTTATTATACAAACAGTTTATTTAGGTTTTTATTTCATTTTAAAGTCTTGCAAAGCTTAATTAATTGTTGTGTTTTGATAATTTATTATAACTCTAGAATCATGAAAATATAAATAGTTGTCGAATAAAATTCAATATTTTGGATACTGACATGTAAACAAAGCCTTTGTTTACATACGGACTGTATACCGCATCTTTAATTGTCTATTCTTTTCTCAGCTTTCTCAAATTCTTGATTTGAAACAACATTTCCCCCATTCATACAGCACTTTTGCGCAAACTTATAACCCTTTTAAACAGGTTTTAACGGCGTGTTGAAGAACATACAACGATCATGGTCTTTCTTCCTCTTATATAGTCAAAGGACATTGGCAATAAAAAAATAGTTTGTCTCATTCAAAAGAACTCTTAAAATTATATATTAAACTCTATTACCGATTTGTCATATCTTGCTTAGTTCTTGAAATATTTAGACCGAAATTAATGAGCTTTCCGCCATCTTGGAAATTTTTTTACCTCATTAACTATGGTTTTGATGACGTCAGGAGTTGGGTTAACCATATAAAACTACCCTAAAATGACCGAGTAACAATCCAAAATTGTTTGAAATGTTTTTAATCATTTCTAAATTTCAGACAGCAACCAGAAACGAAATTTTGGACTCATATTGATCGCTTACTCTCAAGATAAAAAATTAGCGTGACCCCTCTCTTGACGTAACATGCATATCTTCAATAATCCAAGATGGCGAACAGCTCACTTTTTTCAGTCGAAATATTTTGAAAACTAAGCAAGCTATAAACAATCTGTAATAGAGTTTAATATATAGTTTTAAGAGTTCTTTCAAATGAACTAAACGTGCCAATGTCTTTAATTATTCCCATTCGCCAATGTCTTCATGATCAATTCAAAGCATATTGTGAAAAATATAATTACTGAGAAATTTTGAGTTTCCAAACTCAATTGAAGATTGCTATTTTAATACCGTAACAGGTCCGTAGCTACGGACGCGATAATTGGGGGGGGGGGTTGAATATTCATATACTCGTGTTCTGCCCGACGGATTTCTTTTGAAAGCGATTGTTTTTACGGTATGTGCATGAACATGATTATACGAATATTCAACCCCCCTCCCAATTATCGCGTCTAGTTATGGCCCTGACCGTTAGAAACGTGGTTGTATTAATCCCTGGACTTATGTCCTAAATACATTCTTGACTGCATAATTGTTAAGAAATTTAAGTTTATAAGTTCGTTGCAATTGTGCATGGGAATAATAATAATATCAGTTTTGACTTGTGGAAAAGCCATGTAAATTTATTATTTGCCTGGCCCTGGGTCTTCATCTGCGCTAGTAAAGTTTCGAATTTTAGTTGTTGACAATGTGTGAACTGATTCACAAAGTTTGACTTCTCCAATCTATCTAAGCGAAACTGTGTCTCGGTACTAAGTAGTTTTACGTACATTTTTTACATTTAGATCCAATTCCTGTCGTATGTCGTACAAGCAGTCCTAGCTCTTTACGACGACTGTGGTTTTCCTCGCTGGGTCAGTTATGGTATGATGTCCTATATGATCACCATGATTTCATTATTTGGAAACTTTTACTTCAGAACTTACCGTAATGCAAGAAGTAAGCGAGAAGGGGAGCACAACAAACAAAATGGTGACGTACAAATCGGGATAGTCCAGAATGGAACCCAGAAGAAAATTAATTGACAATAAAAGGGTATTTTACCTGGTTATAAGCAATCCATTAATTTAACCTGCGATTATGCTCTATTTTAGAAATAGAGAGGGCCTGATACAAAGTCCCAAACTTTTATCAGGTCGCTTCCTGCCCCAAATATATCCGACAAAAATGTCCAAGGAGAAATGTAAATTTCATAATCTACAGTAATGAAAGTCACAACTACTATATAAGTATATTCTGATCAATATAGTATTATCTAATAAGCGTTAAACATTCAAAGAGCTTCAACCGAAATTCGATTGTGTGGCACGAACTTTTAATAACATTTGTACCGACAGAAAAATAAAGCCTGATCGCAGGTTAGCATGAATTAGTCCAGTCAATCTGTGACCAGAGGTCAAAGAAATTGCAATAGAATTTTTTCAGTGGTAAAATGTGAGGGAAGGTGTCGTGATTAACATACTAAAAATAAAAAAACCCTTAGTGGAACATGGTGAAAATCGAGTTTCTCTTACTTCTACCTATAGAAAACCATTGTGGACAGAATGTTCAAATTTTGAAATCATTTTTAGGCAAATGTAACGTACATTACTGGAAAGCTTAAACAAAACTATATAAAGGTCAATTAAATCGTTACATTCAATTTACTAGCCAGTTTGTCGTTATTCTAGCTCAAAGTTGGAAAAATAACGCAAAATTGCACAAAATACAAATTTATGGCATTTTAAATCTTGTATAACTTCGGCTTGATAGGCAAAATCAAGGTAACCGTTTAATTGATCTATATTTAGTTTTTTCTAAGCTTTCCAATGATGCAGGTTATATTTGCAAAATAATAATTTCAAAATTTCAACATTTTGTCCGCAATGATATTCTGTTGGCAGAAGTAAGAAAAACTCGATTTTTACCATGTTCCACAGAAGGAATTTTTTTTTATTTTCCCCGAGCCGACGCCGTGCGAGGGTACTAATTCCTCCCGGCTATTTACACCCTGGGAAACGAAAGCATTAGCCAAGTCTAAAGTTCATCAATGAGCGCGGGCGTCGGTAACCAACGATGCTGAGTGGGTAGTCATCCTCACTGATCTCAAAAATGTGGCTGATTGCTTGTAGGAGTGGGATGAGCAAGATTTCAATTTTAAAAGACATATATTTCGGAAAATCGTTTCATTCACAACAAGCTTGAAGCAATTTTGTTTGAAGAAATTAGAAGAATTGATTTACGATGGGGAATCGTGAAATATACGACAAGTTTGCTTTGAATATTTAATGTTTAGTATGTTTACGAATTTTGTTGCTTTAAACTTTTTGCCTAAAAACATGAACTGTTTTCCTTTTCAACGAAGCTCTAAGTTTCATAAATTACCGTTTAATTTGAGAAAAAATGTTAAAATGTAAAGGAGCTGAACTGAACTGAAATTACCTATTAATAAATTTGTTTTATTTGTAACTTATTCTGTTTTATTATTAGGTTTATATCGGCAAATGAACTATTGTTGAATGAACATTTCAAAACATTTTACGAAGCGTTTCAAGTTAAATTTTACAATAAATCAAAGCTCACAAAATGCGAAATAATATTCCTACAGTATATATTTAGGAAATTTATTGTTGTATAGTTAAAAGTACGAATCTTTCAACTTTTTTGCAGTTTTAAATTTAAGAATATCATGTTGTCATGGCAACACTTGAGCACGAGCCTGCGTTCAGTGGGCCATTTCTGAATACTTCATGTTAGTTTAATGTTTGGAAAATATTGGCGAGGGGTTACCGCATGCATGTATTTCTAGTTTAATATGTTAATCAGAACACCTTTTCTCACACTTTAACACTTAAAAAAAATCTATTGCGATTACTTTGATCAGGACCATGTACTTATAGTGATTTGACTGGACTAAATTGGGCAATTGGTTTTCAATACAATTTCTATTATAATGTAAATTATTAAATTCTATACAAACAAATTTGTGTGTACACGTGACTGTACTGTATGTTTGCAGCAGTGTTGTGATCAGGCTTGGACGGTTTACCGGTTTTTCTTTTTTCGGTTTTATTTTCAAACCGGTTATTTTCGCTCGTGTACTGTTCGTTTGCTTATGTAAAAAAATACTACAATTCCTCCTTATTCAGTTGAAGTAAAAATTAAAGGGAAACCCGTTTTACCGGTTTAAAATCAGCATACATGTCCAATACTAACGCAAATGTCCAATGGACATATGAAATGTCCATTGGACATATGACTGTCCATTGGATCCAATGGACAACTCAAATGTCCATTAAAATTAGCAGTCATTGCTGGTATAAAACTAGTTTTAAAACGTTCCGTTCTGCATTTAGTTAATGTGAAGTTAGAATTGTTTCTTAAGTCCAGTTCATGCGATTCTTCACGGAGTGGGGGTAAGAGGTGGTTGAGGTGAGCAT